AGTTACAATCATGTGGGTTTAAATCACGCTCAAATTGATTTGATTTTGATGCAATATTTACACTGAAGCTCGCAGGCGGCTATGGTAAGGGCGTGTCATTTCCCGACCAGGCGCCGAGTGCTGCCAATCACAACGCACACTGGCCCAGCTAACCAATCACAGCACATTTCAGAAGGCAGGCCTTCATTTGATACAGGAACTATTTGAGCCGTTCATGCCAGACTGGAGAGAGAGGTGTTGTAATAATGTAAAATATGTGAAAAATAATGTGTTTTTCGAACATCCTAGTATGAGAGCCTGTACACCCCCAAAACTAAATCAAAACTTTGTAAAAGAGCATAATAGGACCCCTTTAATAGAACTATATGTATAGAAGAGGAAACACCTGCAAGGGTAAGGCTGGGTATGTTAAGGACTGACCTTTGCACCACAATCGGCTTTTTTCAGTGTACAGAAGCCAATGAAAGCAGGGTCGGCCACTTTCACAAGAATGTTGTCTACACAGTAGACGTGGATGTAGGAGATTCCTCTCGTCTCCATGTCCTTCACAATAGTCTGTGTCCCCAGAGCTCTGTACAGGCCCCCGTTTCCATCTGAATATGAAGATTCACAGAAAATATGAAAGTGAATAATTCTAATTATGAATCTTAGCATGTTAACTGTAAGGCCTGGAGTTACAAATTAACCTGGAGTTTCTTTGGGATATTTTGAAAGGGTTTTAGAAAAGTGTTTTTTGATTAAAATAAGGTCTGTGGTTCAGATTACTTGAAGAGGCTTTGATGTTTCGTTCAGCAACATGCATTATTTATAGGCATACCTCATATGTGAAGTTGCTTAAAGTTGTCTACACAACTAGAGATACTAACCTTGCTCTAAAAACTTACCTGGTGCCATGGACAGTTTGCCTTTGCCTTCTAGAATAATTTTCCCATTAAAGTCCACAGCGGGAAGCATGCCTTGCTGAAAGAAAAACACATTCTCTTCCTTCAGGCCGAAGTATTTGTGTTGCATGAAAAAATCTTTGGTCATGTCCATTGTTCTGCCACTTGTCATAATGTACCTGATGAATCAAAACATTGATCATGTCATTGCAAGACCAATCTCTTGACAGAATCTTAGCTTAAAGTGTAAGTGTATTGTTTTTGAAAGGAGTCTTGCTCACCAAGGCTGCATTTATTTGATCTATTTTAAAATATAATTTACTCCTGTGATCTGAATTTCCAACAGCCATTACTCCAGTCTTAAGTCTCACATGATCAGAAATCATTCTAATATGCTGATATGGTGCTCAATAATAATAGTAATTTCTTAACATTATCACAGCTGAAAACAGATATGCTGCTTAATACAATTTTTGTGTAAACCATGATACACCATTTTTCAGGATGCTTTTATAAAGTTCAAAAGAACAGCATTTATTTGAAATAGAATTTTGTAAATAAGTTTCTACTGTCACTTTTGTTCAACAATGCATTTTTTTTTTTCTAAAAAAACATATCTGTGGTAAATTACTTTTAAAAATGATGGTATTAGCATGTTTTTTCTGGATGCTAAAATGATGGTGTTCTTTAAAGTATATTGTTAGAATTTTGTAAATAAGTTTCTACTGTCACTTTTGTTCAACAATGCATTTTTTTTTTTTCTAAAAAAACATATCTGTGGTAAATTACTTTTAAAAATGATGGTATTAGCATGTTTTTTCTGGATGCTAAAATGATGGTGTTCTTTAAAGTATATTGTCATATGACTATGGCGATCATACATGGATTCAGTTATTATCTGTCTTAAATAATGAGCTATGATTAGAGCTGATCATTAGGGCATCATGTGTCATGCGTCAAAAGTCAATTCTGCTGGGCAGAGATTGGCTCTAAAATTATTTTTCTCTTGAGGTCTGACCTAGTTCCTCAGGACGACATGCTGGTTATGTCAACCTGATTTCACACTGACTAAACCATGTAATGACATTCATAGCGAGGAGGTCACTTGCATTACGGTAAGTGGGGAGAAACTTCCTTAAGATCAAAACAAGTCTGGTAATCGAAGTAATTAGATTGAACAATTATTGACTCAAACTACTTCCTTGGGAATTTGGAAATGGTTGTCTATGGCTTCAAATGTAAGTGCACTGTAACAGAATACATTTGAATTGTGCTTAATGCTCATCTTACCATGGAATACAGCACTTCCTTGAGTGCCGTTTTTCAGCGAGCTGTTCCAGTCTTCTGATGCGTTCCCCCTGGATCTGAAAGAGGGTTTTGTGAGAGGGGAGGTAGACGTCATACATGCCTTTTGGATATGATACACCCAGCCGTGTCCCTTGCCCTCCAGCCAATAGAAGAACCGCCACTTTGTTCTCTGATATACAGCGAAGGCCTGTGTGGAATGATGGGAGGATATGTCACTTTAGCAAACAGGTTTTAATACTATGTCATACAATTCAAGGAAAAAACAAACATAAGTCATTGCACCCATTACATGAGTCCTTAAAGAGAAATATGCTACATTAATGTACAAATAAAAATCAACTATGGCGAGAAAAGATGCTGTTGGTATAAACTGTGTGGATTCTTAAGCAACAGTGTGTGTTTAATTATTTGCAGATAACAAGGACGATTATCATCGACTTTATGAGGCCTGATTTATCTAACATAAATTACTGTTATGCTAGATGTTACATCACCCACACACAGCCTTGAATATGCTAAAATATGACTTGTGCGATAAAAAAAAAAAAAAACATGAATTAAATTAATAAAAATAAAAAAAATGAACAGAACAAAGATGACACATAAAAGTCACTGGGTATCATAGTAATGTGGTCTGATTAAAGATGATGTGATGCTGAATGAGCTCAACATGACGTCAGCAAAGCAATTACCGGTACGTCAAATCTAACCAGAACCAGATGTTTTCATTCCGTTTTGAAGCATCCACCCCAAAAATGGAGTACTGGGACAAAAAATGTTTATTCAAATTTGAAACCTATTGTTATTTCAATAACCAAGTGCCTTTTTAGACAGATTCTGGGCAGAAATCCTAAGCTGTTGATTTCTTTTGTCTTGGGGGGTCATGATTTGTCAAAGAATGGTTCTCTGGGGTGCATTTGGGTGGAGAAGACATTGCATCACTCATGATTTGTTGTGCAATATTTCTTAGCAACATTTTTTTTCTGCTTAAAGACTTAAAAGAATTACTATATCACATTTAGGTTATAATATTAAACTAAACATAAGCTGTTTAAAACCGCCTTTTATATAAATTCCTCTGCCTGTCCGCTTGGTCAGACTCTGAAACCAACAGGCTGACCAGCTAAACTCCAGCTTGGGATGGCACTTAACGCAGAATAATGCGCGAGATGGACCAGGAGTGCTGTGAAACATTAAAATATCTGAACTCACCCTCTTCTTCCCATTCTTTGAGACGTTCACGATCGCGTGTTACGCTTCCCAAAACTTCTCTGGGCACTGGCTCCATTCTGGTGTCCACCTTCTCCTGCGAGTTCTGCCCAGACGTCTTCATGGCAGTTTTAAAGAAGTTATTGATCTCCATGAAGTTCAGGCTCTCCAAATCAACACTCATTTCAGCTTGTTCCTCAGGGCTTAGCTGGTCCCAGTATTGGAGAACATGAGACTGCCCGGCTTCAGCAAGTCTCTCAGCCAGTTTGCTGGTGTCCATGGTCTTTCCTTTAGATCTGGATCAGTCAGTGATGGAACAAAGGCAGAAGCAAAGTGACACTGATTATCTAAGAGTCTCACAAACAGATCTGGCCGTCTTATCCCCACCCATAAATTGATAACTACTCTGTGTACGTGCTCAGTCGAATAAACACGAGGTTGGCTAAATATGAGGTCAGGTGTGATCTTTACCTCTCCTCAAAGATCAATATAATTTTTGATTGGCTGTAAGACAACATAGACCATTTCTGATCAGTTGAAAGCCTACTGGACAGTAATCAAGTTAGCTAAAAGTCTGACCCCCCCATTCCTGATTAAAGATCACACCTGCTGCATAAATTCTTATACGATACATCTTGTGCCTAAATGTTACTTGTTCAACATGAATGAATGAATGAATGAAAACACCTGGTGTATTGACAACAAGGTATCAATGTTTATCATAGCCATTCATAAAAAAAGAAACATATTGTCTTTAGGTGTAAAAGCCCGTAAGAATTACCCATATCTAGCCCACATTTGCCCTCAAACTCAAATCGACAGACTGGTAAAACTGTATTTGATAAGTGTTGCGTGGCGGAACTGTCGCCTGAACCCCAGCCTCGACAACAGTACAGCGAAATGTTTTCTGATGATAAATTTAACAACATCATAACATCCTTACCTTTCGAGCAACTGCTGACCACTTAGTACTTCCCTCTCACTTCAGTAGGACTAAAAGACACGGCTTACATCTCGTGAGAGCACCGCCTTTACTGCCCACTGTGCCTAGGATCCTCCTCCGACATCCGTCAGAGATTGACGTGGCAGGGCAAGCGCTTCTTTTCCACACCCATTTTCCAGCAAGCTCCACCTTCTTCGGACGAATGGGCGGGTCTAACTGCCTCTATGCAGCCCGTGAATAGACAGGCGAGCTGTCATTCATATAGTCGTAGCCAACAGTGAAACACGGATCAGGTCAAGCGCGGGACTTGCTCATCAAGAAATAAAAGCGCAACGGAAAAATAAATTTTTTTTTTTTTTTTTTTTTTTTTTTCTTTTCAAACTGTATCTGGGGTGAATTAACCTACGTTTTTCTTGTTGGAGTTTTCAATACCTGTGCTTCTCCTAATTTCCATTAATTTAATTTAATACAGTATTAAAAATAGATTAGATATGGGATGAGCATATTGTACATTTTTAATATAGAATTTGCAGATTAAAATTATACTTAATTTGCTTGAATATAAAAAAACACGACTTTGAAAAACCATGTCGTCAACGTTGGTTTGCCAATCCGCCAAAAAAATCGAGAGGAGAAGAAGAACCATGTCGTCATTTCCGGTATCATGGCCACCAAAACAGTGGCAGGAATTTGTCAACTCGGTCCAAAATTGGGTTTTATGGATCCGCTGTATTTTTGAGGCGCCATCTCGGCTTTTCGGATCTTTAAGATCCGACTATGGTGCCGCACTTCGCACTAATTTGGGCGTTTGTTTTAAAATATGGCATCTGAATCCATGTTCGTCAGCAGTTGGTAGTTAGCTGTAAACTCTGGCATGCAGAAAAGCACTATGCAAAGATCAGTTTAGAAAAAAAGTTTCTTAAAAGGGCAACTAATGGAGCAAACACTACTCATTATAAACCTATTTAACTCCGATTATTACTGATATTACTCACGGCTTGTAGTTCTGGCTTCAATGCAAAAATGTCCAGTCCAAATGTCAGCACACCGGCGATGGCGGTGACACCAGACGCCGTGGATCAGAAGACAAGCCCGGTGGTATTTGAGATTTACGGAAAGATCTGGAACGTGCAGGCTCGTCTGGGCCAGGGCGTCTCGGCCTCGGTGTACCGGGTGAACTCCGGCCGGGCGAGCTCTGCAGTCAAGGAGTTCCAGGTGGACGCGCAGGGCGGAGATTACGGGTTCCTCAAGGAAAGCTCTGTGCTGGAGAAGATTCAGGGATATAAAAATATCGGTAAAACACACAGGGATCAAGACAAGCTAACAAATACAAAATTAAACCAGTGGTTCTCAACCAGGGGGCCAGGGACCACTCTGCAGACTTTCCTGAGGGACCCAATATGTCTTAAAATTATTTAGTTATATTAGCATAATCTCAATTAAAATGTTATAAAAATAGAAGTCTAAGACGTTTTATGTCGTAGACTTCTATTTTTATAACATATAACATATCAGCTTAGATATGGGGACAAATGGAGTCAGAAAAGTTGAGAACCACTGATTTAAACAACTTGTCATTTTATTGGTATTAAAACATGCACAAAAAGTCATAATTTCTGTTGAATTGATGTTCAGTTCATTTTTGTCAACTATTGCATGACACAAAAACAACTTTCAAAAAATTCTGGACTATCATTATTTGGGTCTTTTCTACACCGTGACCGAAATTAGTAGTGCACTTTTTCAATTTTTACTCTCTTCATTCTCACAGAGCTGTAATCTAGATAAAGATTACAGCTATACATCTTAAAGTTTAAATGCCTGGTTCCATTTGTGTTATTTCAAATATACTTTCTACACAATTTGCCATAGCGATCATGAGTCCTGGAGATCCAAATGCTATTCCGGCATTATAACATAAACGTTGGTATTTCCTCTCTAGTGACGCTGTATGGAATGTTCACCAGTCACAACCCATTTGGTGTGGCCACTCATTGCCTGTTGTTGGAGCTTTTGGATGTGAGTGTGTCAGAATTGCTGGCCAGGGTGAGTAATCAGGGACATTCCATGTGGTTGATTCAGCACTGTGCCCGTGACGTTTTGGAGGCCCTTAGCTACCTGCACAGAGAAGGTTACGTACATGCTGACCTCAAGCCCCGCAACATTCTCTGGAGCGCCGATGACGAGTGCTTTAAGCTCATTGACTTCGGCCTTAGCTTTAAAGAGGGATACCAGGTGAGAAGTTGATATGGTTTGCCTGAGACACCCTATCATTTGCTGTCTGAATTTATTCACATACGCTACTGTTCAAAAAATTTGGGGTCTGTATAAATTGTTTTTTTATCAACTTTTTTGAATCTTCAGCCTTTTCATTACTCCACTTTTCAGTGTCTTGTGATCCTAATAAACCATTAATATGGCGATTATATATGAATCCTATATAAATCATTATAATATGCTGACCTCAAACTTTTAAATGGTAGTGTAGTATTAATGTGCCTCAGTATTTAGAAATAGGTTGGCAGTGAGCCTAAGGGTTCTTGTCTGTTTCTTACAGGATGTGAAGTACATCCAGACAGATGGATACCGGGCACCTGAAGCCGAGCTGCAGAACTCCCTGGCCCAGGCAGGTCTGGAGAGCGACTCTGGCTGCACAACTGCTGTGGACCTGTGGAGTCTGGGAATCATTCTTCTAGAGATGTTCTCAGGAATCAAACTGAAAGAAACTGTGAAGTCTCAGGAATGGAAGGTCAGCTGATACCCAAGCAGCTGTGAAGCAGTACTCTACCTTGAATATGACCTTAAATCTTTAATGATCTGTCAAATGTAAATCTTGAATTTGTGTCAATTTTCTCTTGAGTCTACTGTTGCTCATGTTATTTTGACCTCTTATGCTTGGTAAGACAGCATTGTGTTGTGTCTCTACAGGATAACAGTTCTGCAATAGTAGACCATATCTTTTCAAGCAATGCTGTGGTTTACCCGGCTATCCCTGTTTTTCATTTAAGGGATCTGATCAAAAGGTAGAACGTAACACTAAGCAGTGTACCAGTGTGTTCTTTAAACATGACTAAAATAAGTAATATGTGTATTTACATTCACAGTATGCTTCACAATGACCCTAAACTGAGAAGCACAGCTGAGGCAGCATTAATAAACCCTTTCTTCAGCATTCCCTTTGGTTTGTATGAATCCGCATCTAAAGCATTGCTATGTTGCCCAGTGTTTGGTGTTAACACTTTTTGAGTGAGGAACTGCTTTGGGTTTTAGCACCTCATATTGAAGATTTGGTTCTTCTGCCTACACCAGTCTTGAGACTACTAAACGTAATAGACGACAACCACCTGTATAATGAGGATGAGTATGAAGGTGAGTTTTTGTCTGTTTTCTTTATAATAAATATATTTTCACTATGGTTTCTTTAATTAGTAGGTCCCAAAGTGACATTTATTCCTTGGGTTTCTTAGATGTAATAGAAGATATGAAAGAAGAATGTCAGAAGTATGGCAAGGTTGTATCCTTATTGATCCCAAAAGAGAATCCCGGCAAGGGACAGGTGAGCAAAATGGAATTTCAATAGTGAATGTGAATTTTTCTAGATATTCTCTTCACCTAATAATATCATTATAGCATTTATTTGCAATAAAGCATTTTATTGTGTCATCTCTATAAAATTGATATGAAAAATATTCTTATCCAGCAACCATGAATGGCTCAAAGCCATGGAAATTTATTGTTCCAAAAGTGTGAGAACTCTGAAAATCACAATTTCATTGAAAATCATTTATTTGAAAGTTTGACACGATTGAAAGCAATGATAACTTGCAGTTCAGTAAGTCAGCCTGATGTTCATTAGATAACAATTCAGACAGAGGTTCATTCTGAGAAAGATTCATTAAATTGATTCAGACCGATAACTTGTGAGTCATTTTGACACATTCATTTATAGAAACTCATAAGTGTTTATTCTTCTTTTAATTAGACTACACTGGTTACACTATGTATGTACACGACAATGCAATAGAAAGACTTATCTATTTATTATTTTTGTATTTCATTGTTTGCAGTACTTAAAGGGGTCCTATTATGCTTTTTCACTTTTTCAACTTTAGTTAGTCTGTAATGTTGCTGTTTGAGCATAAAAAAGATCTGCAAAGTTACAAAGCTCAAAGTCCACTTCAAAAGGAGATATTTAATTTTTTCACTTTTTAAAAACTACAACGAACGACTCATTTGGACTACAACGCATATTTTCCGGGATTTGTGATATCACAAATACAGACGAATGGGACGAGACCTGGTTGAGCTGCACTAGAGAAGGCGACGAGTGTTATCACTATGTCTGAGACATGCTAGCTTTCCCAAGGCAGACGAACTTAGAGTAGTTACAATCATCTGGGTTTAAATCACGCTCAAATTGATTTGATTTTGATGCAATATTTACACTGAAGCTCGCAGATGGCTATGGTAAGGGGCGTGTCATTTCCCGACCAGGCGCCGAGTGCTGCCAATCACAACACACACTGGCCCAGCTAACCAATCACAGCACATTTCGTATTTCAGAAGGCGGGCCTTCATTTGATACAGGAACTATTCGAGCCGTTCATGCCAGACTGGAGAGAGAGGTGTTGTAATAATGTAAAATATGTGAAAAATAATGTGTTTTTCGAACAACCTAGTATGAGAGCCTGTTCTAGTACACCCCAAAACAAAATCTAGACTTTGTAAAAGAGCATAATAGGACCCCTTTAATTATATATAAATTGAAATGTTAATATAATTAAATGAAAAATATTACAATTATTTTATTACTGTAATTTAATATTTACAAATGAAAAAGATAAGATTTAAAAAAATTTATAGTTTCTCTGTAATTATTCTGTATTTACATACTATCATACCATGACCACCAACTTCACATTTATTTCTGTTTGGAAGCTCACAGAATACAATTTGTTTTGCCATTCTGATTCAGATTGGAGTGTGCAAGATACTTTGTCCAGTTTTGAAGATTTATTACTTATCTTGTCTTGGCAGGTGTTTGTGGAGTATGCAAATGCTGGAGACTCCAAAGAAGCTCAGAGACTGCTGACAGGCCGAACGTTTGATGACAAGTTTGTGGTCACTACGTTTTATCCACTGAGTGCCTATAAGAGAGGTTACTTATACCAAACTGTGCAGTAAAGCTGCACACACACCTCCATACAAAACATGTAAATTACAATCATGTGACTGCTTTTAAACCCTTGATCTGTGTATTATTCTATTGTGCTACCTTTAATACTTACTTGTGTCACTAAGATCAACATTGTTGTGAATATAGGCACAGATGCAATTTAACTTGGGTGGAACAAGGAGAAAAGTTTTAGTGCCTGCTTCCTACTTCCCTTTTTTACTAAATGGTCACACCATAATAAGACAATTATATATACTGTGTGTTAGCTGGTTGCTAGACATTCAGTACGTATGCTTTCATACTTTGTCATTTTGATTATTTAAATTTAGTTTTTATTGCAGTGGGGTTGATGCACTGCTTTGGTTTACGCTGCCTTCTAAACAACAGATCACTTCAGAGACTAGGTTTACATGCTTTTTAAATGTCTACGATTCCAAAAATGTGTAGTTTATGTGGCCTGTTCTCTTCCGTTCTTTTTTTCCCGTTGTTAGTTTTAGTGAAGGTATGTTGGTATTTCCAGTAATTATGCACATATTTATAAACTACTGGCAAAATGCACAGGCCTGCATGCACTGTAGCGTGGTTAACATTTATGTTCAACTTGACCATGAAAGCTGTTTAACCGCATTTAAACTGAAGATGGAAATCTGCAGAGAGAGCACAAAGACGACAGAGCGGGTAGCCTTATGCTATAGATCATTCTTAAGCAACTTTTTGATTTTGCTTATTCAGGGTTGACTGGAATGAGACTCCATGTCCCAACACAAAAGCCACAATCTGTCTCATCCAAAACCTCTCTGGATATGTTTATTGTACGTTATACTATCGTTCTAGAATTTTGAACTTGAATTCCAAAGTATAATATTAGTATAAATTGGGTCTGAAAACTCATCAAAAACATTTCAAGTGGACTTCTTTGGGAAATACTCAAGTGTTAAAATGTGTGATATGTTGTGCAAAGCAACGTAACTCATACCTTCATAGCACACACATGTGAAGATTCAGAAGCAAATAATCTACTCTGTATCTTCATTAAGCTGGACTGCCCTGATGCGTTGATAAATAATGCTGTTGTAAAACTCACTTTACTATCAAAGATACAGTAACACAAATGTGTTTCAGAAAGGCTTAAAGCTAAAATGCTTTCTACAGACACGTTCAAGTCAAGTTTGAATGGATTTTACTATCTGTAGAATAATGATGAGTGATTTTAAAATCGTAACATTATTTAAAGGCTTTTCCAGTTGTGAATAGGTATAGTGTTCCTGGTATCATTGTGTTTTCCAGTCCGTTTGTCTGTGATTGCATGATGTGGAGTCTTTAATAGTTCTACAGAGCTTTCTGACACGAGCAATTCTTCGTAAGTGTGTTCTCATTTACTTTATGAATATCGCCTGATGTTTTTTTTCAGTCATCCTGGTCGATTGTTTTTCTTTCTACCATCCAACGAATGCCATAAAGTCAGTTTTCTCTGTCCTGTAGTCTAGAAGTATCACATTCACTTCCAGGGCAGTGAGCTCTAATATGATAAGTGTACAAGACAATATGAGGAAAGAACAGGCTGGTTTTCTAGATTTAGATTTGAAAAAGAAGTTTAAACTTTAAGAAAACATCCTTTTTTGTGGATTAGATGGCATTGTGGCCAATAGTTATTATTTTGATTCACATTTGTTTTCTTTTTGTTGGGTATGTTTTAGGAGTGTTATTGTAGGAAAAGGGCACTTTGGTTATGCATGTTCTGAGTGTGAGTCATTCCAGATCTGGGCTATTTACTTAAAATCTTTATCTGAGCATTGTAAAGAAATTGTGATTGATCTAGATTTTATACACTCATCTCTCTCTCTCTCTCTCTCTCACACACTCTCTCACACTCTCGCACATTAATGGTGATGACATTTGAAATAAATTTTGCAGATGGTGAGCAAGAGATCTTTAAGATCTATGTTGTTTATGAAACTGAACATTTGTTTTCTTTTTGTTGGGTATGTTTTAGGAGTGTTATTGTAGGAAAAGGGCACTTTGGTTATGCATGTTCTGAGTGTGAGTCATTCCAGATCTGGGCTATTTACTTAAAATCTTTATCTGAGCATTGTAAAGAAATTGTGATTGATCTAGATTTTATACACTCATCTCTCTCTCTCTCTCTCACACACTCTCTCACACTCTCGCACATTAATGGTGATGACATTTGAAATAAATTTTGCAGATGGTGAGCAAGAGATCTTTAAGATCTATGTTGTTTATGAAACTGATTTTTTTTTATTATTATGTGAATATTGTGTAGGTCTAATGTTAGTCAAGGAAAATTGCTTACATGCATCAGAGCATTAATGAGAAAGGGGTTTTCTGTAATTTGATCAAATGGGAAGATTCCAGTTTGACAATCTAGCTTGATGTTGAAGTGAAGTCTTCTTAAATGGATGATGAAAAGATTCAAATTCATGTAAGAGAATATTAGTGCATTTGACATAAATGTGACAACAGCAATAGTCAGTTTAAGTGCATATTGTGCCGGTGAGCCATCATTACTTAAATCCAGCCCGTAATATAAATCCACAATAAAATTAAAAAATGATCAATTACTTTTTGCTCAAGCAATATCATCAAAGCTGCTCAAATAGAGCCCTGAGGCCCCTTCTAACACTTTCGAAAAGCACAATGATTTCTTTTCATAATTAACTACTGCATAGAACCTGAGATGGGTGTCTGTCAGGGATCATTTCATGCTGCCTTAATTTTTTAGTATGCTGTAATAATATCAGTCAGTAAATGCTAGACCGTGAGAAAAGTGCCAAAATTGTTTCAAAGCCTTCCTTTTTTTCCCTGCCACCAGCAACCCTGGAGAAATACCCAGGGAATCCACATATATACCTTTATCTTGAATTGCATTTAAATGCCTTTAAATGTGTCCAGAAACATGAAAATGTGTTCCAGTTGGATGCCAGAGATCATATGAACAGTAAAGCACAGTGCTGGAGTTTGGCTGGCCTTTGTGTTTGTGTAGTGAATAATGAACCTCCCAAGAGGAAACACTGCAGGGTGTAACCACAGATAGACATGGGAGCTCTTTGGGCCTTATTAACTCGAGAAAGGTTGGAGAACTAAATGGCTGCTTGAATGGTGAGAAAGATTTTGAGTTTGTTACTAATCAGGAATAGAGAAAATGCATGTGAACGTCCTTGTCTTCTACCGTCATATTTATGATCATAATTTCTTTTGTAACCCTCTTTAAAAATGTATTAGCTGCTTTATTGGTTTCAATATTGCAATAAAGTCAAGTCATATCACACATATCTTATAGCATGCATATGACCTTTGGAAAGGAAAAGGGCAAGAGCTCACCAGTACAGTCATTTAATGGGAAAGTGAACAACATATAAGGTGATAAGTTGACATGAATCATGTATAGATAATAAAATATAAGGGTATAGGTCACAATATGTGAATATGTGGCTTTGCTAAGGTTAAAAAAAATCAAGAAAGTCTTGTATTATGGAAATCAGCTTTTTTTTCTGCAATGCATTGAAGGATCAGAGGTTTAGATGATTCTTCAAATCATTGTTCATCTGGTTAATTGGAAAGCCGAGTAAACAACAGAAGCGAGTTCTACTGTTTGCTGTGAAGTCATGGTAACATGCATGACTTCACAAAGGTATAAAATGCGTATAGTAACATGATCAAAAGGTTTGTAGAAATAGTGTTTACAGAACATTTGTGGTACATAAGTGCATTGCTGTGGTTGAAGTGCAGGGTTTATAGTATCAAAACAGTTAGGATAATGATGTGAATTCTGATGAAATGTCTCTCAGTGTTTTGTATGTAGATTCTATTGATGATTCTTCCCTTTAAAACATAATTCTGTGCATTCATCTTTGCCAATGATTTCATTGTTACTGAAAATTCCCTCCAAAGCATTAAAAAAGTTTTACAGTCTGACCTTTAAATAGATATTTTGCAAATCTGTTAGTGTAGATGTTTAAAGTCTAAACCTCACTATGAATTTGGTAACAGGAGATTAAAATGGTAAATAATAATTGAATTATACATTGGAGGTGTGGTGCTGGTGGCCTGCATTACCATTATATTGCTCCATATGCAGACAATCATGTGTTCTTGTTAAACCTTCCTCGTTTCTGTCTTATTATCCCTGTGGCTTAGATGTGATTGGGCGAAAGATAATACTTTGTGAAGCTCTGCCTTAAAGTCCACATTATATGTGGCAGGGAAAACAACCCTAAACTTGAATTTGAACATGCTACAAAGTATAAAAATTATCTAACATTCAGTGTGAGGATGAGTGTTTTCTGTATTGGGGTAAAAAGATGTTGTAGATGTCATTTGTAAAATGTAAGTTGAGCAGATGATGGTTCATTAAGGATCATGGGAGACTGTGACGTAAGAGCTCTGGATGGAATGAATAATATTCATGTTTCTCACAATAAAATGTTTATGTCTGTCATGACCTTGTGTCTTTATTTCATGGTTTTTTTTCTGATTGGATGCTTCAACTTCTGAAGCAGAGCTACTTCATGACAGAATCGTTTTATTAAATTCAAATGAGAAAAGTTACAATGTAAGTGACTTGGGAACCAACAATAGGCAAAACATTACTGCTCTTGAGGAATGGGCCAAAATACCAGCAACCGTGTGTGAAAACCTTGTGAAGACTTACAGAAAATGTTTGACCTCTGTCATTGCCAACAAAGTGTATATAACAAAGTATTGAGATGAAATTTTGTTATTGACCAAATACTTATTTTCCACCTTAATTTGCAAATAAATTCTTTAAAAATCCTACAATGTGATTTTCTGGATTTTTTTTTCTCATTTTGTCTCTCATAGTTGAGGTATACCTATGATGAAAATTACAGGCCTCTCTCATCTTTTTAAGTGGGAGAACTTGCACAATTGGTGGCTGACTAAATACTTTTTTTCCCCACTGTACACCCAGGCTACAGACCACTAGATGGCAGCTCTGCCTTTCAGACTGTTCCAGTGTATTGCAACTGCCTTAAAAATGAGTAAGGTTATTGTGGAAGTGGATATCATTACTGAAAGTTAAGCAGATTTGCCACTAAATTTTGGCACAGCTGTAAAAGCATGTAAGAATAATAGGTAACACTTAAAGCCTTTATATAAAATGTATTATAAAGAGTTATTACAGGGTATAATGCATTATAATTATTCATAATGTGCGTTATGATACATTATATCTTGTCGTAAACAATTATATCCGAATTTAAAATGCATAGTGTAACAAAGAATATATAGTGTAACTGTGGTTACAATTAATTAAGGTGCATTATAATTGATGCATTAAAACTACTTTTATAATGCATTATACATAAAGGCTTTAAGTAAAGTGTTACCTAATAATTTATTAATGTAAAATATCACATATACTATCTGTCCAATAAGAACTCCAATAAGAACCAAAAGCTCTACATGTTACTCTCCCTTTGCATGTTTATTAAATATTTTAGCTAATTTATTTGTCTTCAGCTACCACAGATATATTATTTACCATGTTTAAATCGATAGCATGTAAGATATTTTTTAACCTTGAAATATAAGCATTTTCATTCTGATGGTGACTTAAGTTAAATGGATTCTGTTTCTTTCCCACACTCCCATTAAAAGCGTCGTTACTGGGAACGAAATTCTGCGAAAAGGGCGGATTGCTTTACGGCAGCAACCAATGCAATTACACGGACTTAACTATAGGGGCTCTAAAGTCGTAAAAATACACAAAACTACATACAGTTGCTTTAAATACATTCTGTAGATTTTCCGCCAAAAAATATAATAAAAAATTGGTAAAAACGTCCACAGATTCGGTTGAGTCAACAACAAGACATAGGCTACTGAATTGTCTTTATTATCCGTTATTATGCCACATTAAGCGTTTTGCTGTATGGGAGGACAAGTGAAAGTTTGCGCATTGTGTTCATGGCCATCTGCTTGCCTTGTAGTACATTAAATAATAACTATATATCGAATTTGATCTTTTAATTGCACTTAATGTATCTTAATACATTAAGCCATGTTAAGTGTTTATGTTTTTCTACAGGAGGAAAACGCTTAACGAGAGGCTTTGTGCATTGCGTTCATATTCTGCTGTTCTGTGGCCACGGATTTGCGGGTCTTGTCTTTTTCTTGCAGGACCCTGTACGTTATAGTATAAAATTCGTTTTAATCATTTAATCACCACCACAGCGTCTTGTCTCCATTGGCAACACGCACGAATTGTGTTGATTGCAAGTGACGTTGCAGGTATCGGAGAGTGCAAGTGGCGATTGCAAGTGACATTGTAAGTTAGTTTCTTTTGTCTTGTCTTCACCGCCTGGCTACTGTTGTAAAATGTTGAGAGATTCAAACAAAAAGTAATCAATAAATAGAACAAAATGAAAAATAAAAAAGACTGCAAGTGACGTCGCTAGCGGAAGTGCAAGTCTCTGAGACTGCAAGTCTGAGAGTGCAAGCGCAAGGCTGCAACCAGACCCTTCTCTCACAATCAGGCAAAGTGACAGATATGTGGTGTAGAGAGTGAATGTTAACCTGGATTGCAGCCTTTGCCACTTGAATTTACAGAATACCCATGCACGGCTGCACAATCTTGTTTCAGCATATGTATGGCAGAATGACAGAGGATTCCAGGGGATGTTATGGTTCAGGATCACTGCCTTCTGGTTACCCAAGCGCTTATCTCCATACTGATGATATGCACATGCACCTACACAGCACATGTGGCTTATTGCACAATTAGCGTGTTTCCTTGAATTCTGCACCGGAACACACAAGAAAGCATGCTAATCTTACTTTTTTTTCTCCTCAGAAATGAAAGCTGTACAACACTCGGCTGTATTTTTGTTAAATGGAGTATGTATTATTTTGAGAGAAGGACTGTCCAATTAAAAAAATCATACCATAAAGCAGCCTTTC